TACCAATCGCTCATAGAGCGCTTCGTCATCTGTAGTACTCCAGGGGCGAGCACTACAGGTATTATCCGCATCGCGGGCACACGAGAGCCACCTCGTTGAGCACTTAGACGAGCGCGATAAACGTCTAACAGAATTTCTTGTGGGACCAAGAAACGAGCTCGAAGAGCTTTCCGTGTGACAAGCTCATCATCCGTTCTGGCCGGGACCCGATGATGTGGACGTGTAACGATCGAGTTACCGCGTCCTTCGCTTCCAAAGCGGGATCCGCAGGGCGAAAACCATATTCCACACGAGGGTCAATGACCAGCCGTGGATGGGCGCGCTTTAGAGTCTCCTTATGGGCAGCTTCAAACTGCCGCTCTGTTTCCCGTTGAGGTCATTGGTGATCACACCACGTCCCTCAGTTGACGAGAAGTCAGGGAACAGACATGAGGTCCGCAAGACACGAGCAGGGCTCGTATCGCACCGCTGGCGCGGCTCGTCCTCCTCTTCATCCCATGCGGGAAAAGGAGTGTCAGACTCATAGTCGACCACATCCTCAACGAGGCCACTCGGCACTAAAAGCGTGCGCGGAGTGCGACGTTTGTGCGCATCGAGCCTAGGACATACACCCGTCGGTGCTGCGGACGCACTGTCCGACGTTGCACCGAATGCGGGAGATAAAGTTGGGCTCTGCCTATGCTCGCCGTCAGAACCGGCGAGACTTGAAGAGTTTGGTGTCATTGACACAGGGCTCATTGAGCAAGGAAGCTGTTTGCTCCAACAAATGGAGTTGCAGTGTCTTACGGACACGCGAGCCTCGTTGAGGCAATAATTGATTGGAGTTGTAAATGTTCTCGATCTTGGTGGGGGAGGGTGTAACGGGGTTACACGAACCCTGATAACAGGAGTGTGAGCGTGTCACACGAGATGCGCATAATTTGACCACATACCCAAACAAGAATACGGGACGGGGATAGGTAGCCAGTAGTTATGGATGTATTAAGTTGTCCTATATATCTTTTGTACATTTAGGAAATTCTAAACTTTTAACATTAGAATAGAAATATAAATAAAAATCAGTTTTGATTTTGAACAGAAGTGTTCGTTCGCCTTGGTTAAGGCTTCTAAGTATTTTTAGAGGCTATCCGCTGCAGAAGTACTTGGTTCTTGTAAAGAACGAAAGGTCGGTGACCTAAAGACGCTTCCTCAAGCG